TAATTATAAAGTTTTGCTTCCCAACTCCTTTTCTCGTTTGAAAGGGACCAGTCGTCGCCAACAGAGTACAAAAAGGGGACTAGAGAAAACTAAGTAATTCATTCGTCCCCAATCCCCTCTCTTTTATCTTTCTTTAGGAGCCTGACTGCACACGCTATGATTTTCTTATTGTTCAATTATTCATATTGCATTTAGAAAACATGATTTTAAAGCTAAAATCTCATTTGATCAAGCGCAGTGATCATGTAATAATTATAAAAGAAAATTGCTGTTCTGCTTAATGTCAAACTTTTATACTTCAGATTCTGTTGAGGACCATTTCTTCTAAAAATAAGAAAACATTTTCTATAGAAAGGTGAAAAGAAAAGGCAGAGAGTCATTTAAAGGTTATCGAGTGATCTATTAACGAATTCTCACGGCAAGGATTATAGAAATTTATTGCAGAAAGAGCAGAGAATTGATGTTTTTATCTTAGCAATTAGATAGTTAGAGTAGCAACTCTATGGGAAACTAATGGGTACCTACCCATTAGTCCTGGGTAGTCCGCCACTTCCTATGCCATCCAAACTGATGTAATTTTCCTTTCTGGTTTATCATTAAGGTACATCCCAGCAATTCAAATATGTTGAGGTTTTTAAACTGTCGTGGTAGTCTTTTGATGTTATCAATGGTTTATTTAGGGTAATTATTTTAGTGGTTTCTCGCAATCTTCTTGTCATTCTGCATGGGATTTATCAAGTGGACGGCGTCAAAATGACTTTCATGAAATTATGTTGTATCTGTTGATTCTAATACTCATTTGTAATGTCATCTTTGTTATTATAGTCAAATTTTCAGTTACTGGATCATAGGCTTTTCATTGTAGTTTATAATCTTGTTCATATCGGTGGTATTTCATTATAGAAAGACTGCTAAATAGAGCCAGAAAGTTTGCTTTAGACTTATTGGAGTTGATTTTTTCTTACCACAAATTATCATAGCTGGTCCACTGTGCGACGGAAACATGGTTTCAAGCCTAGGAAGGCTCATTGTACAAGCTTGAACGACCTGTGGCCTCTATGGATGGATTGTCAGTAATGTTTCGTTGCATGCTCGTAGTGACAGTTGCAGTGGTAATGTTGGTTTAGACGCCACATATGGTATTCCCATAGTTGACTCCTCCTGGCAGCTTGACTGACAACTGATTACAATTCCTTTCCATCATTTCTCTATCTCGTCGAGCTTCAGGTCTCACTACACTCCGTCTTGATCCGCTACACAGATTCCTCGCAATTTCTTCGGCTTCTAGGAAACCTTTTTTTGGAAACAGTTCAATGAACGCCGCTAGAAAATGTCTATTTCGAAATGTATATATAATTGGGTTGAAGGTAGAACCCATATTAGCTATAACCCGAACACAAAATGACGAAGTGTAGTTTTCTCACTGTCTGAAAACTCAGTTTTCTCCGTATAGAAACCACGCGACGAACATAACACTTATTGGGAGAAGGAAAAATAGCAAAGTCGTCAGTATTATCAAAGTGGTTGACTTAAAGGCTTTCTTTTCTTTCTTGAATCTAGCTATGGCTTCTTGAGAAACTTGAAGGGAAAGAATCCGCTTTTCATGGCGTCTGGCTTCCTTATAAACGAGGATCTGAAGACAGATGATTGAGATCAACAACGCTGCTTTCAAAAGTACGACTGGAATCACCATCGCCCTAAGTAAAAAAAAAAAAAAGAAAACGAGAAAGCCTGGGATCCAGACGCAGACCGCTAAAACTATAACACGCGCTTTAGTGAGCATTTCGTCGTGTGTGAAAGAGTATTTAATTGTGAGGCATCGTTCTCCGCTGATCAAAACTGAGTGACTCATAACAGTTTGGCAAGCCACAATAAAGGTGATGGTAAAAACCGAATTTACTCCGCAAAATTCGTGGAATCTTTTTCTTTGCAGCATGAAAATTGTCATAGTTCCATGGAGAGGTTGAACAACCAACCCAGTCAGTACATCAGTAAGCGCTAAAGATGCCAACAAAATGTTGGAGTGAGTTTGGAGACGTCGTTTGGTTTTCATGGCCAAAGTAACCATCGCGTTTAAAAAGCAGGTAAAAGGACAAGCGACGAAGCTGATAACAGCTGCTGCGATGAGAAAACCATAAGTTACATCGGAAAAATCGGGTAAGGTAACGAATCTGATCCAACCGACGCGTCGGCCGACACGTTGGCCGGACCTTATAGAAAGACTTTGCCTCGCTGGTACTTTCGCTCGGCTCCAAACTTCGACTCGTCGATCTCCACTGTTTTTCCTACACCTCCGATCTTCATGTCAGCGTTCATAATTTTCGTCGAACATACCGTTCGTAAGTCGCTCAGCGCACGGATCACTGTAGGCTTTGAAAGGCTAGTCAGTCTGGCGATGTTACTTCCAGAAGCCTTGATAGCCCACAGGAACATTAGATGAAGCCACGTACTCAGCGGGATGTTGGAACCTTCGAAAAACCAGGTTCGAAAAGCCAGGTTCGACAGCGGCTGTTTGTACAGCATCGGTGGTGTGTCGGTAGTGTGTCGGCCGACGCGTCGGTTGGATCAGATTTGTTACCTTTACCGAAAAATCATACCGCAGACGAACATGAAGAAATAAAGAATCACAACTGTTTTCAAGGCCAACCGAAGAGGACTCATTCATTTTGCCACAGAGCACAATGCCGGTGGTTTTGAACTGCTGGCTTCGCCAAACGAGAATACTTGTATTTGAATGTCACAGTGATACTGTGTTGCTTTTGAAACTNAAAGAAAACGAGAAAGCCTGGGATCCAGACGCAGACCGCTAAAACTATAACACGCGCTTTAGTGAGCATTTCGTCGTGTGTGAAAGAGTATTTAATTGTGAGGCATCGTTCTCCGCTGATCAAAACTGAGTGACTCATAACAGTTTGGCAAGCTACAATAAAGGTGATGGTAAAAACCGAATTGACTCCGAAAAATTCGTGGAATCTTTTTCTTTGCAGCATGAAAATTGCCATAGTTCCATGCAGAGGTTGAACAACCAACCCAGTCAGTACATCAGTAAGCGCTAAAGATGCCAACAAAATGTTGGACTAAGTTTGGAGACGTCGTTTGGTTTTCACGGCCAAAACAACCATCGCGTTCAAAAAGCAGGTAAAAGGACAAGCGACGAAGCTGATAACAGCTGCTGCGATGAGAAAACCATAAGTTACATCGGAAAAATCATACCGCAGACGAACATGAAGAAATAAAGAATCACAACTGTTTTCAAGGCCAACCGAAGAGGACTCATTCATTTTGCCACAGAGCACATTGCCGGTGGTTTTGAACTGCTGGCTTCGCCAAACGAGAATACTTGTATTTGAATGTCACAGTGATACTGTGTTGCTTTTGAAACTGAGAGGGGAAATAGAAAGGAAACAAAGGCAGTTAGTCCTTTTCCAGAGAAGTGCATATCTGAATGAGAGGGCCTAGTCTAGGGGTGCCCTTATTAAGATTTACTATCTATCTAAAGATGATCTAGCTAACGCCATCAACGCTGTGCTCTTTGAACCCATGAAGCATTACCAACCCCTATACGCTGTCCCTACTGTAGTGGAGGACTCCGATATGCCTTTAATTAGGGAATGTGATGTCCTACACGCTCTAACCAATCTAATCCCGAGGAAGGCAGTTGGACCTGACGACATCGGTAACTGGCTTTTGAGGGAATATGCWGTGATTCTCGCACAGCCTATTACATCTATACTGACCGCGAGCTTTAGAGAACAAAGGCTTCCCGCCTCTTGGAAGCTTGCGGACGTGGTGCCTCTCCCTAAGCAAAAACCCGTGGTAGATGCTACTAAGCACCTGCGTCCTATCTCCTTGACGCCCGCTATCTCTAAGGTTGCGGAAGATTTTGTGGTACTCAGATACGTCAGTCCAGCGGTGTTGCAGATCATAGACCCGAACCAATATGGCGGTATTCCAAGATCCTCCACCTTGTACGCTCTGATTTCCATGGTACATAACTGGTCACAAGCCACTGACGCCACAGGCGCAGCTGTTAGAGTGGTATTTTTCGACTATCGTAAGGCTTTTGATCTTATTGATCACAATTTGCTGGCCAGAAAGATC